ATGCACATAAAAAATAAAAATAAATTAAGAGTGCTGAATTAGTTACAAAGAAGATAATACATTTTTTCCTTTTTGATTTCAGGGTCTCGTTCTGTAACCAAAAGTACTCACCATGTAATGCTACCTGGCCCCAATCCACTTGCCTCAGCCTCCAAAGTGCTGAGATTACAGGTGTCAGCCACCATACTATTCTTCTAGAAAAGAACATATTCTGAACTAAAGGAATGTTCCTCCCTAGATGAAAAAAGAAGGCCAAACCTGAAGTGAACAGACTGGCAACTGTGTATTCAAACATTCCAGAAGACAGACTACAATGAAATCTTACTTCCACCTAAATAGCTATTATCCCAGAAGTCTAACCAACACACAAAAGTAAAATAATGAAAAATAATGAAATGCTTAAATATAAAAATACAGTGGTGATGCACATCTTTAATCCCAGCACTCAGAAGGCAGAGATCAGACAGAGACAGCCTGATCTATAGACTGAGTTCCAGCTCACAGAGAAACCCTGTCTTAAAAACCAAAAACAAAACAGAAATACTAACAGAGCCTTATTACAATAACCCTACTACATGTACACCAAGTAACTTCAAAATAAAGGCAAATGGGCTGGGACTATATCTTATATAGAGTAAGATAGTGAGGACCTAGGTTCAATCCTAGCACAACAAGAGAAAAAGAATAAATAAAGTACAGAATCACTGTGCCTATCTATAGTCATGGCTACTTGGGGGGGATCAAGGGCCTAGAGTTCAAGTCCAGCATGGGTAGGGCAGCATCTTTGGCTCACTGGTTAAGGATTTGCTTAGTATGTCCAAGACCTTGGGTTTATTCACCAGCATCTTTTAATCTAATACTCAGGCTATTGTAAAATAATACAAATTATACATACTCACAGATGTATACATAGGATAATGTAACTACTAAAACATGGATGGATGGCCTAAAAGAGTTAAAATTAATTCAGATTGTGAAGAATAAAATAAAAACATTAACTTAAATCTTTTAATTTCTTTTATTCCTTTTTGGAGAGTACTTGAAACAGCATCTCAATACCTGATTACTAATCTGTTAGGGACTGGAGATGGAGAGATGGCTTAATGATGTACTGGTCTTAGAGGACCAGAGGGAGCCTGGTGCTCAGCATCCACATTAGGCTCTAACTTTTAGCTATAGGAGATCAATGTCCAATTCCACAGAGGCCACAACCCATACATAGTAATAAATAAAAGATAATTATAAAACTGGCATAGGTGCAAGCCTGTAATCCCAGCACTTGGGTGGGAGAAGGGAGAATTAGAAAGTCAAGGTCATTCTCAGCTATACAATGAGTTTTCAGTCAGCCTGAGATATGTGAGACCTTGTTTCAACAACAGAAATGATCTTTTTTCCCTTAGGTAGCTGGAGAGTTGGCTTAGACACCAATGAGAACAGTCCTGGTTAAGAATACAGAGGATCCTCAGGTTCAGTTCCCATGCAGCCCAAGCACTTTTAACTCCAGTCCCAGACCTTTTGCAATGGAGGACACATACATTTTAAATTTTTTTTTTAATTTAAAAAATTTTAAAGAAATTTAAGTCCAACCTCAGTTATAGAATGAGGGAGTTTTACTTTTATGTTTTGGTTTTGTTGTTGTCTGATTGGGGTCTTTTCGTTTTGGGGACAGGAGGTTTTATTGTTGCTGTTTTGGAGGATTTTGTTTGTTGTTTTGAGACAAGGTCTCACTCTACAGATACCAGGCTAGCCTCAAACCCATGGCAACCCTCCTGTCTCAGCCTCCCAAGAGCAGGCATAAGCCATCATGTTTGATTTTTATTTCTCTTTTGAGACTGCTGCCCAAGCTACCCTCTAACTCAAAATCATCTCCCACCTCTAGAATGCTGGGATTACAGGCATGTAATCCACTATAAAAACACCAGGCCTTCTTTTTAAATTTACATTTATTTGGTTTTGTTTTTTGTTGTGTTTTGTTTGAAGGTCATGACTTGGAATGTGAGTAGAGGTCAGAGCACAACTTGTGACATTAGTTCTCTTCTTCCTACATGTATGCTCCAAGAACCAAACTTAGGTTGTCAGTCTTAGTGGCAAGTTCCCTTACCCACTAAGCCATCTCACTAGTCCTGTATTTATTTTTCATTTGTTTTCTTTCTTCTATTACTATTACTCTGGGAAATGTTTGTTTTTTTCCTAGGGATTAAGCATAGAGCCTTGGACATATGAACCACACATTCTACACTCTGAGCTACACTACCTACCTAATCGTTACTAATGATGGTAAACCATTCTAGAGTAATTGATGTGACACCACTGAGTCACATATTACTCCTCCTTTCAAGGTGCTCCCAATGGATTCCTATGTCCTCCCTTTAAGGTCCTACATCTCTATGATAGAATCATCCTGCATCTTTTCATTTCTAATCTCACCTTTTAAATGTATTACACACTATCAAAAACAGGTTTCTGAAAACACTGCTTTATCTTTCTGAATCATTAATATTCATATCAGTCAAGTACTTAGAGCCAGCTCACAACCCTTCCTTTTCTACCAAGTGAGACCAGAGTTCCCTAACTGCATCTGAGCAACTTGATCTTAAGGAGGCCTAGAGGTAGGCACCTTATCCAACTTAAACTAGTCTGAGGCAATTTTAACCAAAAAAAAAAAAAAACATGAGGTTCACATTGAGCTTTTAGGTGCTTAGGTCAGGAAGTATAGGACAACTCAGTGTATAAAAGAACTTGCCAAGCCAGTCATGGTGCAGGCCTTTAACCCCATCCCTTGGGAGGCAGAGGCAGGTGGATTTACATGAGTTTGAGACCAGTCTGATCTACAGAAACAGTGCCAGGACTGATTCCAAAGCTACACAGAGAAATCCTGTCTCAAAATAAAAAAACCCACACATTGGCCCTTGAGTGCAGATGCCCAAAATCCATGCAGACTCAGCAGTGCAAGCACCTGTAGGGTCCAGCAAGCCTCTACAGAAGAGATAGAACTGGGACACCTACTCACAGGCTGTCCAGCTTGCTTATGCAGAGTGAAAAAGGCTGTCTCTTCCTCTCTTTATTTTTTATTCTCACATTTGGAACTTCCTGTATTGACCAAGCTGGCCTTACAGAGATCCATCCACCTGCCTGTCTCCTGAATGCTGGGATTATAGCCATGTGCTACCATGCTCCACCCAGAACATCTCAAAGAAGTTGAGAGGTGAGAACTGATATGCAAAGGCTATCCTCTAACCCACTTTTTTGCATACACACACACACACACAATTTTTTTTTTTTTAAGCCTTAAGCTACCTAAGTATGGCAGCACTCACCAATCTCAGCATTCAAGAAGTTGAGACAAGAGATTAATAGTTTGAGACAAGCCTGCCTGGGCTCCATAGTAAGTTTAAGACCTGTCTCAAAAGAAGAGTGGGAGGGACAGAAAGGAAAAAAGAGCTGAAAAATAGTCATCTATCTCCATAAGGGCAATATAAGGTAGAAATAACTTAATATCTGCCTAGATTGCAATTCTAGATATGTATTTCCCTATAGCTTTTTTTTTTTTTTTTTTTTTTTTTTGGTTTTCCGAATCAGGGTAGCTTTGTAGCCTGTCCTGGAACTCACTCTGCTGTCCAGGCTGGCCACAAACTCATAAAGATCCTCCTGCCTCTGCCTCTGCCTCCTGAGTGCTGGGATTAAAGGCATCACCACCACCACTGGCTCCCTACATCTTTCTAATCCATAGACAATTAAATAAAGTAACTGGTGCAAAATATTTGGTACAGTATCTGGTAAATAGTTAATTAATGGTTAAGTAGCAGAGACAATTTTCACAAAGATAAGTCCTACGGAAGAGATAATAGGACTAGTTCAAGTTCCCATTCATATTAAGGTTCTTAGTTCCTATATCCCTATAATAAAAATGTTCTACTTTGTTCACACAAGCTTAGTATTGGACTTCTGTCTCATAATTGTCACTACAGGAACTTAGGACACTATGCCTCTTTTTTAATGGTTTCCCACATCCTACCAATTTAAATAAATTAAAATAAAACATGCTCCCACTATAACTACCATATTTACCTTGACAGGGATAAAAACAAACTGGTACTGGAGCACTCCACCACATCGAAACCAGTCCTTTCCTCTAACTGTATTAACACTCCTTCCTACCTTGAGCTCCTCACTCCACTATCAGGGCTTATTGATAACTATGGTATTAAAGCTAATGTCATTTGCTTAAAGACTGCCTTAAACAGAACATCCTACAGAAAGTCAACAAGTACTCTTCCCATATTTCACATCTTAAACACAAACATACATGTATACACACACACACACATTTTTTTTTTCTTTTTGAGATGGGTCTCATGAAGCCCAGGTTAGTCTCAAACTAGAATTCACTACGTAGCCAAGGAAGACTGTTCTACTTTTGCTATATGCCTAAGAAAAGAAGTTGAAATGTCTGTTTTCTAATTTCAGGGCAAACCTCCCTCATTTCTCAAAAGGTTACTGAAGTGTTCACAATGACAATGTTCAGTTAAGTTAAAAAAAAAATTGTTAAGGCTTGAAAACAAAAGAATACTAAAAATTAAACTACACATCACAGATATAAAATGATAGTAACTAAAGTCCTAAGGTTTTTTCCCCCTACACTTGTTAAACCAAGCAGAAATACCAGCAAGCTGGCTCTAGTAAAGAGCTCCTGGGTAAAATGCTGAAGACCAAGTACAGAGATATAGTGTTTACCTAACATGTAAGAAGGGTTGAGCTTAATCCTCAGCTCCTGAATATAATTTCTCATCTCTAGTTTTCAAGGTACTGTCACACACACACACACACACACACACACACACACACACACACACACACACACACACACGACTTAATTTTTCAGATTTTACAAAATCAGTTTAAAACTTGAAGTCAATATATAAAACTAAACTACTCAAGTTTTTGGGGTTTTTGTTTTGTTTTTGTTTTTTTTTTTAGTATTTTTGATAAACAGTCCTTACCACTCTGGCTGCTCTCTCCTGAGATTCACATTTCCTGCAAAACCATGGTCCAGTAGGTACTTGAACAATGCCATAGCAAGCTGTTGGGAAACAAAAATGTTTGAATTTGAAAACAAAATATTTACATTTGAAAACTAAGGAAAAACAATCTTTATAAACCATACCAACTACCTTCACACTATTCAACTGGCTTCATAAATTATTTTATATAGTGTTTAGTATGTATTTAATTAAAAAAGTAAAAGTAAAACATAATTTTAAAATTCAACCTGAGTTATTTCCACTGAAGTCCAAAAGGTGTTTAGTATGATAGTACATAAATACAACCACAAAACTCTAGAGGCTAAAGCAAAATGACTACATTTCAAGTCACTCTGAACTACATAAACTCTATTCGCTTTACTGGTTTACTGGGGTTTTTTTTGTTTGTTTGTTTGTTTGTTTGTTTTTGTTTTTGGTCTTTTTTGTAACAAGGTTTCTCTGTTATTTTGGAGGCCGTCCTAGAATTTGATCAGTAGACCAGGCTGGCCTCAAGCTCATAGAGATCCACCTGCTTCTGCCTCCAAAGTACCACCACCACCTGGCTAGAAATTCCATTTTAAAATAAGTCAAAATGCTACAAATGAGCTTTTTTTTTAAATTACATGTTGGAGTTATTTTTGTAAGTGATTATGTAAACTTAACAAAAGTATGTACAGAATAAATCAGAAATTCATTGATTCCTTGCCCTACAGTTTCCTATTGCTTTGAGATAGGATTTCACTGACTATACAGCCTGCCTCAAACTAAAGTGCTGAGACTACAAACAAAAATGAATAAAGCAACAAAAATAGATACTAAGAACATAAAATAAGACTAAGACAAACAACAGATAGAAAACAAAATATGCTAAATTGAAATACTTTGTGGGTTGCCAGCATTGCATCTTAGCTAGTAGATTATAACACAGACAGCATGCATGAGATCCTGGGTTCACCTCAGTTACCACATAAAGCCAGGCTTTGGTAGAGCAAGCCTGTAATGCCAGCACTCAGGATATCTCTATATCCTCAACTGCTACCAACTAGCAAATTCAAAGCCAGCCCAGGTTACTCAGTACTGAATTCATAGTTTGAGTAGAGCACTTTCACAGCATGTTCAAGGACCTGAGTCTAATCCCCAGTTCTTAAAATAATGTGAAATATCCAAAAAAGGCAAGTTAGTAGACAAAGTTGTAGTCACCTAGTTATTTGCAAATAGGAAGAAACTGGAAGTAACTTATAATGGGTCCAAGAGTTTAGTGATTAAAAGGATCTAAGACAAACTGTGGTGGTGTTTGCAGAGCTCTGCAAATATACTAAAAAACCATTGGATTATATATACTCCAAACAGATGAATTGCATAGTATGTAATCCTATCTCAATACAACTATCACCAAAAATAACCTTTATATACTTTGCATACCCAAGTATCCTCAGTCTCACATACCTAATTCAGCGCCTTATTTTTTTTGAAAATATTTTCACAATTCATTTTTTTATGTGTTAGTTTAACATACACAATATGTATATGTCACCTTCCAGGAATTTGTTCTCTCCTTCCACTATATGGGTCCAACAACTGATTTCAAGGCTCGGCAACAAGTGTCTTAACTAGATCATCTTCCTCATTTATTAGGGGGTAGGAGCTTTTTATTTTGTTTTAAACTGGGCATGGTGGCACACAATTGTAATCCCAGCACTCAGGAAGCTGAAGTTCAAACAGGATCCCTGGGTTACATAGTGAGATTCTGCCTATAAAATCCAAGGGATGGGGGCTACTGGAGCAGCTCAAAGAAAAAAAAAAAAAAAAACTTGTATAACATGAAGAATGTCTTGAGTCTGACTCTTAACATGAATCACAAGGGGAAAAGGAGTTAAAAGGTTGTTCCTTTGTTTATCAACTTAAAAAAAATTATTAACTTATTTATTCTGTGTATGTTGTGGGGGACAGTGCCAGGGTGAGCAGTAGAGGTCAGAAGACAAGCAGTTGGTTCTTTCCTTCCACCATAAGTCTCAGAGATCACAGTTGTTAGGCTTGGTGGCAGGTGCCTTTTACCCACTAAGCCATCTCTCTAGTTGAAAAAGTTGGTTTTAATGTTCACATTTCATTTGTTAAGATTTTTAGACCAGGCTGGCCTCAAACTCAAGACACCTGCCTGCCTCTGCCTCCCCAGTGCCTTTAGTGTGCACCATCAGATTTTAAATTGCTTTGAGAATTTATAAACACATTCAACTTCCATTTTACTCAGCAGAAAATGTCTTACATTTTTGGGAAACAATAAAGACAACCTTTTAAATACCAAAAGCTAAATTTCTTATTTTTGAGACAAGAGTGTCACATAGCACAGGTTGACCTCAAACTTGCTACACAACCGCTAGGATAGACTTGAGGTTTTCACCCTACAGAGGACTGGGATTACAGGCACACACCTTCTTGACAAGGTTTATTACACACTAGAGTTTAAACCCAAGGCCCTGTGAACAAGACCTTACATCAGTTGAACTATATGCTAGTGAGTCTTGGATTCTAGGCTGTCCTCAAACTCAAGGATCCTCCTGCCTCCTGCCTGACCCTCCCAAGAGTTGTGATTAAAGGCATAAACCACCATGCCTTGGCTAATCTCTTTTAAACCTGTATAAGTATGTCTAAGTAAACAAAAAAAAAGCTTCGGTGACTGGGTGGTGATAACACACATCTGTAATCCCAGCACCTGGGAGGCAGAAGCCAAAGGACTGTCTCATCAGCATGTCAATTTTGAGGCCAATCTGGGCTATGTGAGACACTGTATCAAAAAAGAAAGAAAAAGAAACAGCATAGAGTCCAAACACACTTTTATTTGAAGCATCTCTAGAAGGGAAAAGTTAAGATTTAGATGTACATTTCTGTATTGACAAGCAGAGATTACATAACAAAAATAACTTATCCAATTCATGATATACGCCCTGCCCCAGACAGAAAAGCAGAAAGGAAAAGATATTGGGAAAATATATTTGAGCAAAGTATAACAAGATACAAGAATGTCATAACAACTGTTATTTTTTATCCCAACTTAAGACTGTAAACACATACACACAAATGCCAATGAAAACTAACAGAAAGTATATAGGTTTGACATAAATTTTCACTCCACTCCTTTTGCACTGGGTATCTGCCAAAAGACTGAGACTTAGTATGAAGAACAATATGAAACTTTCTCCTTTCAAAGAAACCAGTTAAGATTCTTTTAAAGTTAAATTACTCTCTCAATGTCATTACTTGTCTAAATGTGCCCCTCCCAGGAAATTCTTGGTGTACACCTTTAGTACCAGTACTTGGGAGGCAGAGGCAGGAAGATCTCTTAAAGAGTTTCAGGCCAGTCTGATCTAGTTCAAGACAGCCAGCACTGTTACACAGAGAAAACATCCAAGGCTGGAGTGAATGCACTTTGGGGTCGGGATTGGCTCAACTGGCAGAATATTTGCCTAACATGCATGAAAGCCTGGGTTTCATCCTCTAACAGGGTAATCCAGAGATAATGCAATACAGTACTGAAATCCTAGCACAGGGAAGGCAAAACCATAAGAATGGGAAATTCAAGGTCAGCCTGGGCTACTAGAGATTCAAAGATTCCAGGCATGATGGCACAGGCCTTTAATCCCAGCACCTTGAGGCCAAACTGTGTACATAACTAATTGAATTCCAGGTCAGCAAGAGCTGACAAGACCCTATCTCAAAAAAACTGAAGCTAAAATAAAATTTCACTTGGGCATCTTATGTTCCAACTTCCCTCTCTCCCCTTCAGTAAGACACCTATTACATTACAAAAGAACTCCTTTAGGCTCACACCTATCATTTCTGTACTTGAGAGTTAATGCAAAAGGATTGCTGCATGTCTGGGTCCTACTTGGACTACATAGTAAGACCCTATCTAAAAACACAAAAACTTTCGCCACTCAGTGTTACCCTCGGAAATAGTAAGGGTGGACAGGGCTGGTGACCACATAGTAAGCCACCAAAAACTACTATCTTTGTCTTTCGTCCTGGATATCCTTACCACTTGAAATGGACAGTCAGGCTTCAATAATCAGATAGGTGTCTTAAAAGAGGTCCCTACTTTTTCTGGGAGTGAGGTGGGGGGGAGTAGCTAAACCATTCTAATGATAATACCCCATAATAAACTAAGAGTCTCCCAAGTCTCTTCTCTGACCAGTTAGTCTCACCAGCCCAGGACAGCTCAGCCCAGACCACTCACTCCCTCACGAGTGCCTTCCACTGTCTTCGCAGAAGCACCCAGTGGCTGGCAGTAGCAGGGTTTCTGCCAAGCAGCTTAGGGTGCAGCAAGCAGGGAGGGCCCACCTTCCCGCTCTCTCCCTCAACTGAAGAGGCAGGTTGCCCCAGATCCCAGGAAGTCTCCTGACACACTGCAGCAAAGGGAGCTGGTAGGGGAGGGGGCAGAAAGCCTCTGGTTCCCAAAGCCAGCACACCATCACGTCACGGGACTCCAGCGCGGGTCGCACGCTCCTACCCTCCCCAGGCGCAGACCCGGCCCGACGCAGGAGGCCACCAAATGACACTTGAGAGAGTGAGCGCGGAATCACATGACAGCCCGGGCCACACGCACTTTCTCCCACAGGCCGAGGCACGGCCCGCGCCCGCGGCGACCACGCCGGGCTCCGGCGGCCTGCGAGCGGGGCGGGGCGGCCGGCGGGCGGGCGGGCGGGCCGGGGGAGGGGCGGCGGTGGCAGTTGCCGCCGAGGTGGGGGGGGCAGTGACGGTTGGGAGCAGGCCGGTTCGGCCCGGCGGGCGGTTGGGTGTTTACCTTGATGCACCGCGACGCTGCAGCCGTGCCCGTCGCAATAAACCAGCGGGTTCTCGGCCCAGCCTCTCTCGTCTGAGCAAACGCAACAGCCTCCAATCATTTCCTTCATACTATGGGAGACCTCGTCCTCCAGTGACACGGGCCGGTCGCTAGAGACCATCTAAGAGGGAGTTGGGGGGACCATTAACAAACACATGCAAGCCAGCGAGAGCCCCCACACTCAGCCCCCACGCCCGCCCGCCCAACCGCCCCGCCGGCCCGGTCCCCGTCCCCCCGCCCGCCCAACCGCCCGCCCGCTCGGCCGCTCGCTCACTCGGGCTTTGCCGCTCAGTCACTCACGTTCCGCACAGGAGTCAGGAGCCATGTCCTTGCTGACTCCCCCCTCCTCCCCGCCACCGCCTCCTCCTCCTCCGCGGCGTCCTCCCTCCCCACCTCCACCCGGCCGCTAACGCCGCCGCCCGAGGAGGGCACACATAATCAAGCGGGCCTCCGCACAGGCGCACTGGGGGGCTCCCGCTGGGCCCGGGGCGGCGAGGGAGGGGAAGGGGCTGCGCTTCCTCCTCCGAGCGTCACCCGGCGTGCGCGTCGGCCCGCCCTGCGGCCGGCGTGAGGGAGGCGGCCCGGAGAGGCGAGGCCTGCGTGCGCGCCGCCGCGTCCCCTGGCCCCAGCCTACCTCCAGGCTTTCCCCTCCCCCGCACCGCTCGGCCGCGCCGAGGTGTGCGGAGGTGGGGGACGAGCGGAGCCGGCTGCTCGGCGCGGCCGGAGTGAGTCTACCGGAGGGCGCCGGGCGCGCGCGGGCCTGGACGTTGGGCCGCCGGCGCCTCGCGGGCCCGGGGCGCGCGTGGGTGAGGAGGAGGCCGCGGGCGGGGGCCAGAGTCGCTGAGGGGCGTCCCCGGGGCGTCTCGTGGCACTGGGAACCTACCTGAAGGCCTGTGCCTCGAGAACTGGCCCGCGGGTAACAATGGTTGGGAGAGGGTGCCAGCTTCCATGAAGGGTGTAATGAAGCATGGCTTCCTGCAGTTGGCCGCTCTAACTTCCCAGTGCTGTCGCAGCTTCACCTCTCATTAAATTCACGTCCTGGATTCTTCCCAAAGTTCACCCAGTGGAAGTGTGTTACCATATCTACCGCCCACTTACGCACCACCTTGGCCCCCGTGGCAAATCAAAGTGCACCAGACAGGTCAAAAGCTGATGTTTGGGTTATACTCTGAGCGGGAGCCCCAAGTCTACATTAGAGCTTGGTAGGTATACAAATGATAGGAGGCATTAGCAGCCTAATGGAGTGATCTGGAAAATGCAGCTATAGGACGAAGGAACCCACGTTCTAGCCTGTCACCAAAGGATAACACCAGAGTATGGTGCCCAGTTTTGATTGAGGATTCCACTGATCTAGCTCGTTTCTCCAAATTTACTTTTTAAGTGTGATGTCATTTAAGTGGGAGAAATAATGGGAGCTCTCTCATACACAACTAGAGAATATATTAAACCAATATGAGCAGATTAATTAGCTGGATACTGAGTAGTTTATAAAAAAAAAAAAAACTAGTCTCCCTACTCCCTTCTGCATGTACACCCAATACGGATATTAAGCAAAAAGTGCTCAGTCATGAAAGTTTAGCACGAAATGGGGATTATGGGAACATTATTTAAATGACTTGGCTAATTAGTTAGAGGTATAAAAGTGCTTACTAGAAAATAACAATATAATATGGTCTAGAAAATGCACTTACTCAATGCTAGAAGACCCCAAGTTCTAGGCACTCCCTAAGTAATATAATAATTTAAGTTTAAGGGTGTTCAAAAGAGGTAATGTGGATGTTTTTCTGTTTAAAAATAATTGCTAAAAGTCTAAGAATAGTAATAGATACAGCACAATGGAAGCATCTATTGACAAATACATTCAAATGTTTCAAAAGCTATGAGAGATATCTACATTAATGGGAGTCTACCAAAGCTTGTGATAGGGAGAAAATGAACTCGAAAGAAATACAAAATTGAAGATTCTTTTTTTAATCTTAATACATTTAGAAATGGTGACTAGAGATTAGTAAGATGACATTTTTAAGAAGATATGATAATAATAAATTTCCGGACCTCTAATGATGCTCTTAACTATGAAGTGTTAAATCTCCAGCAACCTTCAAACAGTATACTGTTTATTTATCTTAAGTGTACAGAGTATCTTATCTTTACCCTTATACAAAGGAGATCACTTCAGTGTCCAGTTCCTATTCTGCTTCCTAATGTTGAAATTCTGAGTTCAAATCAATGTAGAACTGGTTCCCAAACACTGCTGTCAAGCCTTAATGCACTAAATTATTTAAAAATACATTCTTTTTATTTTTAATGCATTGCAGCTTAGTTCTTGTGATAGAATTAATTTGTATGTAAAGAAGGATAAATGCCTTACCTCAGTCTGTAACACCTAGTAAATACAGGTAAATACTTGTATTTTTCAAGACAAAAAAAAGATCATTTATATGAAATTTTGAAATTTACCCCCCCAAAAATAATAAAAAAAATGGGGACATGGATGATGTGTAAAAGAAAATATAGAAAAAATGCACAATTTATGACAGGTTTTTCTATAAATAACAGTATTTGAAACAGAAGTTTTGTGAAAGATATATAAATGAATACATGTTGACATACTAGAATTCAAATTATTTAAAATTGGTTTTTAACATTCTACAATGGTGAGTCATAAAAATAAGGAAAAATATTGGGAATACATAGGACATTTCATTTTAACTCATGTACAGGATAGTAAACTTTTTGTTTTGTGGCTAAAGTACAATATTTGCTCTATTTCTATAATATAGTAAGTACAAAAGAACAGACAGAATATGCTCAAATATGCAGTGAATTATTCACTCAGTAAATATTTATTGAACATTCAGTGTGTACCAGAACTCTTGTATATAGGGAATATAGCAATAAGAAAGCTATTTGTCCTTTATGAGATATGTATAAGTCACATACCACATATATACACATATAACAAAAACACTAAGCTAAATATACTAGTCATCAGGTCTCAGAATGGGTAAAACTTGTAATTGCCATAATTGCTGAAGTTCAAGTACATTTTTAAAAATTAGTGACACAAAATTATATTACCATATAATTGATAGAATATCTTTCTAGAAAAGAACCTTAATATTAATATTACTGTTTAGATCCAATTCCATATTCCACAAATACTTATGTATATCTTATACCTAAAGGAAAGAATGAAAAGCCTATTGTCTCAAATATTCTTCACATAATGGTGTCTAACACGGTACTGGCTCATCTATTTTCTCTAAACTAATCAGCTGAGGCAAACCACAAAAAACTCAAAGTATTTTATGATGTAACCTCTAACCCTACTATAATGGAAAAATGTATTTTCACTCCATGGGCAATATATCTTCTTATAATTTTCTTTAGTCCCTAACCTAGACACCAACTTTTCAAATTTGCTTTTCCATAATCAGTTACCAAAGTAGATTCAATGAAAGAAATATTTAAAATTGTATTTGGTTCATAGATTTTCCATGTTCATATTTATCTCCTCTGTAAAATACTGTTTTACTTGCCTCCTGTTTTTACATATTATATCTAGTTTAAGGTTCTTTTCTATAATGAGGCATAGAAACTAAGGGATATTTCTGTGTAATTGTGAATATTTCTATAATAGTTAACACTATATACTTTCCTTAGCTTTTTGACTTTGAGGAATCATTTTAAATCCTATATTACCCTTACACCTATTTTCTAAACAAAATAATTAGAACTCATTTATTATAAAATTTTATTGAAAACTATAACCTTGTTTCCAAATAAATTACCTGGAAACCTTTAAAAAGAATCCAATTTCTTATGATTCACATGCACGTTCAGATAGAATTTGTGTAAAAAGTTGTTTTATTCATTTGATAACTAAGGTTACCTTTACTATGAAAAGTATCACAAGCTATATATATATTTATATTATTTTAATAAATATTTTGAACTGGTTTGTTATTTACAATAAGTGGCTCTTGGGTCTTTATAGAACCCTACATGTATAAACCCTACATGTCTCCCATATGTATTATATATTCAAATTTCATGAAAGAAGATTCTTTTCAATTATGTTTTCAGTTGAAAATCTGTTAATGGCTTTTGGAAGATTCCATTTAATGAGCCATGTTAGTCTTCCTTGATGATTTTTTTTGTCTTACCATAGTGCCTTGCAAGTACCCTGGAAGTAGTAAGCCCATAGAAACATTTGCTTAGTATACAACATTGGTGTTGAAAAAAGGTGAGTGCACTCTGAAATTTGTTCTTCAGAATAAATTTTTATTTTGCCTACACAAACCAAAACTTCTAACAAAGTTTTTCTAATCAGTCAAATCCTCAAAATTTTTCAGTAGTTAAAATTAATATACTAGACAAGAAAGAAGGGGGTATATATTATTTTTACAATATGATGGATTTCATGATGGTGTATTCATGGATGTATAGTATGTACTTGTTTTCATCATTTACTCCCTCATTACCTTCTCTAGTCCTTTCTTTCTCCTCCCCCTCCCCCATCCCACTGGTCATCTTCCCCTTTCCAAACAGTCCCCTTCTGTTTTCCTGTCTTTTGTGTTTCTTAATCTAGATTCAGAATATGAGAAAAGCATGCACTATTTCTCTTTCTGAGTCTGTTAGAGTTTGCATTTACCAGATTATTTAGAATTGTCTACATTGTGACTTTTCACATAAAAGTCACAACTGCAGTTGGAGAAGTCTCTTAGGATTGACTATTTACAATTAATATCATTTGTAAATGCATTTAACTTTTGAAAAGTGAGATGATTCCCAAATTTAAATCTATGTTATCCAAATTTAAAATGTTTCCAAAGACCAAGATCTAGTATTTTCTCAAAGAGTTTGCTTTACTTAACCTTGCATTTGGCTTCAGAGCTATTTCTCTTGCTATACAATTAATGCTACTACATTGCATTTTTACGTTTTAGGAGATAAAATATCCCATAATTTCCAGTAGAAAGACAGTATCTGTAAAAAGCCTTTAAAACTTGTATGTTGCAAAACCCTAACCTTCCAGAGCAAAGCTTCTCCCAGCAGTGAGCAGCAACATTCACACTGCCTTTCCAGGGTGTCATCAATATAATGTAGGGCCCATTTTCCATTTTTACTGACATTGAAGATTTCCATCTCTGTTATAATTAAAGTGTAATTAAAGTGACATATTCTGCTGTCTGTTGATAGGACACAATAAGATTATGGTAAGTAAAAGATTCTCAACATGCAAAGAGGAAAATCAGTCTTGGAAATGGAAGAGTCCTTAAAAGAAATGAAACATATCTGGAACTGGAAAAAAAAAAAAAAAAAAAAAAAAAAAAAGGAAAGAGAAGAAAAGAACAAATTAAGCTGAATTGCTAAGTAGTATTTGGACTAAAGAAGGTCACTTTTTAAGATTTAAATGTTTTCCTCTGTGAAAGGGGCCACTGCTTCCCAAAAGCAGAAACAAGCTCACGAATATGTTAATTAAGTGCATTGTGTCCCAGAAAGAATGAGTTTGACAAATTCATTTTTATTCCTTCAATTA